TGTCCAGCGTGTCCCAGGTCTCCCCAGCTGCAGCAGTGCGGCGGGGTGCGTTCCTGCTCCGCACCCAGCAGCACCATGCCCGGTGTATCCTTTGCTGTGGTCTGAGCATACCAGCCAGCTTGCTTTGTGTTAAACAGGTGAGAGGCGGAGCGAAACAGAGAACTGGCCCTGGCCACTCACTCACCAGTCTCCGAGGCTGGACTTCTTCCTCCCGTGCGCAGAGAATGTGCGTGTGCGGCTAGCGGTGTCCACTCTGCCTTGCCAGCAGGAAGGGCCAGCCTAGGAGCCCTGAGCCAGCCTGCCTCTGACAAGTGCCCGTGGTTGCCTGGGCCGTTGGCCCACCCTTTCAGCAGAAGCAGTGACACTTTCTGTGTGACCTAGAGACAAGATCCGAGCAGATTTCCACGTCCCTAAACTTTGAAAATCTATCCTTAGCTATGAGCAGGTCAAAAGGTGCTGAAGATACTTCTGCCACTCCCTGGCTGTCCCTGAAGCCATAGTGGTGATGGGGTGGCCCAGGCTGCCATCCTCAGCCCTCCGAGTGGGTATCCGAGAGCTGCCCTCCTCCGCCACCTCCTTTCTTTCAGCCGCACGCTGAGGACATAAGACAAAGTTCTGGAACGAAGCTCTGACTGCAGGCCAGCTAGAGGTAGTCCTGTGACCCCTTAAAGAGTGTCGAGACAGCTCCTAACACCAAGAGCAGCGAGGGTGTGTCTTCCTGTGTTCCCCACCCTCTGCCAGGTGCTGAAGCCTCACTCCTCCAGTAAGGATGGGGCTGTGATCCCGGACAGGGCTAGACGGTGGCAGAGCGTGGCTTTGAACCCTGCCTCTACCTCACATAGCCTGCACTCCTCCCTGACAGCCCACTGCAGGGAGGATGTCGAGTTTCAGACATGGCGGTGGTTCCAGACTCCCGCGTTTTGTAGGACTGTGCGGCTCAAAGGCCTGTGGTCACAGAAGGGACCGTTGTTTTAAAATCAGCCCACTACTTTCATCATTGCATCAAAGAAATGACATTTTGACACCAGAAAGTTGGAAGGCTGCAGTTTCCTAGTAGGGGCTAGTCCTCTGCTCACTGGGCTGTTCCGAGCCTGCAGGCTGAGGCATGGCAGGTGGGAGATGGACGTGGGAGCCCGTCCCGTGGCCAGCTCGTGCTCCTTGCCTGATCACCCCAGCTCTCCCCAGCCTCTGCACTCCAAGCTCTACTGGCCTTCCTGGGAGGGATTTGGTTCCTTTGGACACACCTGACAGCTACTTGGCTGGCGTGGGAACTTGCTGGAAGGCTGCTCACCACATCCTGCTTAGTGCCCTGGGCACCAGACCTGTACAGAGGTGCCCACGCCAAGCCCTCTGGGAGCCTTTTTCAGCGAGTCTGTTTACCAGTGCAGGGATTCAGTGGGTGTGAAACTCCACCAGTCTCCTCCTGTCTCTCCAGAAGACGGCACTGCAGAGGTCCGTGTTAAAAACGGGGGCTCGGGGTGACACTGACCTGGGCTTCACCCCTTCTCTCTGCTGCTTAGTAGCTGTGCTTCAGCTTCCTTGGCCCCCACCCCCGGGGGACAGTGGCGTCTGCCCCTGGGTCACTGGGAGTGAAACAAGGCAGGTGTCGAGCACTTGGTCGGTCCCTTTTGGGAGACGCTGATGGGAAGGCAGTTTGGGAGGGCTGGAAGCAGCTGCCCGTCTGGGGTGTTGTCTGGCTTAGAGGAAATGCTCATGAGCGAGTGCAGCTGTGACATTTACAGAGCAATAAAGTGAGATGTGCTGGGGGAGTTTAGTCCAAGAGCTGAATAAGGAAGGTGAGGACTCGCCAGCAGCCCTGCCTGGGTCACGTTCCGCCCCAGGAGCATGCCACTTGCAAGCTGTTGGCACCTGTGGCCATTCCAGCCTTGCAGGCACCCAGTGAGGAAACCGGGGAAACCCTGAGCAGGGAGGCTCTGGAGAAGTTGGTCCCTCGCCAGTCCTGCTGCCGACCATCTCTGTGACGTGCGGCCAGGGTCTCCATCACGCAGCCTGGCCGGAGCCGTCCTCACCACAGTTAGTGCAGTGCAGGCGTCACCTGCTTTGCAGATGTTAGCTCTGTGTTAGAGGCAGGAGTCCCACCAAGGGGGATGAGGCAAGCCCAGAGGGGAGCTGTGACAGCTGCTAGGATGAAGGGCCACATGCACAGCCTACCAGAGCTGGGCCCTGCACCATCTGTTGTGCCAGCGGGTGCCCAGGAGGGAGTGCTGCTCCCAGCAAGAGCACTGTGGCATGCGTCCCTGCTCAGGGCTTAGGAACTGCCTTCACCGTCCTCCTCCAGTGTATCTAGAGCCGGGCCTCTCCACGGGGAGAGCCCTCTGACCTTCTCCCTACCCACAAGGGACGGCCAGACTCAGACCTGGAGGCTGCCTGGAGTCGCCCACCAGGAGGTCCGGAGCCAGGGCCACAGCTGAAGGAGTCGGAGGAGCCCTGGGGAAATGGCAGTTCCCCGCGGGGGACCTGGTGATTACAGCGGCCCTTGCTGGCTACACCGGCTGCACCTCGGGCTGTGCGGGGGGCTGGCAGCTGGGGTGACCGGCAGCTGGGGTGACCTTTGCAGTCACACTCTGCTCCATAGTTTATTACATGCAGGGGTCTCTGGCCTCCCGAAGTTGCGCCTCTGCCAGCCCTGCTTCCCAGCGGCTGGTGCCCCCTGCGAGGACTTGTCCTCAGCCTGGTTGCTCGTGGAGGGGTGAAAGCAGTGTTGCAAGGTCCTAACTGGGCCCAGAGGTTGTCTTCCTGTTGGACACAGTAGATCACGTGTGATGCAGTTTCTTGGGCTTCTTGGTCTTGTTTCGTGAGGCCTAGTGTCTGGATGCTGAGGACCTCCTAAGCCCTCTCCCCCTGTCCTGGGGTTGCTCTGCTTCCCCTACTGGAAGCCTGGGAGAAAGCACTAGGTAACTAAAGCTCGTGTGTGAGGTGCTGCTGGACCACCAGGAGATGTGTCTTAGTTTTATTTTTCTAAGTCAAGAACCCACAGTTTTGCTGAGCGGGAGTAGCAGGCAGAGGACAGAAGTAGCAGAGCCAAAAGTGGGCCTGGGGACCCCTGCGTTTCTTTCTGGCTCACGTGCTTCTCCGCTGTCTTGACCAGCACCCCTGCCTCACTGCAGACCCCCCTGGGTCACTCCTTGCCCGTGCAGTGGAGTGGGAGTCACACATCCGGCCTCCTGTTGGAGAATTTTCCATTGTCCACTCTGTGGCAGGAGCCTGCACGTGGACCTTTCTGTTGACTGCCCGTTTTTCCACGTTCAGCGTTCGGTTTTTCCCATTAAAACGTCACGTGGGAGAGTGCGGAGCATGCGCAGTGTTGGAAATCGGGAAAGGCGGGAAAGAGCAGGATCCGGCTGGGACAAGCGTGGCTTTGGGATGTGTCTCTTGCCGGGCTCTCCCCAGGTGGGCGCTGTGTGTTTCTGCGTGGCTGTGGTCATACAGGGCACCACCCAGCCTTGCAACCCACCGTTTTCCTGAGCCCGCCGAGTGCTTAGCCACATTGTGGTCGCGAGCACTGCACAGCTGTCTCCCTCCTCCTGCAGTGCGTCAGTGAGATGATGGTTCCTGGGAGTTATTGCCTATGATTGAACTAATGCTTCAGCTAACGTCTTGATTCATGAAGTCCTTTAAATACTTGGGTTTAACAGTGAGGCTGGACTTGCAGGGGTGCATTTTAAGGCTCCTGGACAGACACATTTGGTGCTCTGAGAACACTGCCACGCTGCCTTCCAGAAGGCTGTTTACCCTGCCCCGTGGTGTGGGGGGAGAGCCACAACCAGTGTTGATGGCAGGGTGGGCGGCCTGTGTGATGGAACATGTCCAGAGTCTGCAGGCGGACGGTTGGCTGGGGAGGGCCAGGCTGGGCAACTGTGTCAGTCATCTTTTACTTAGACCTCGGAGCACGAGAGCGAGAAGGGTGGGAAGTAAACCGCCCAATGTCGCCGCACCCCTGTATCCCTTGGCAGTGGGCGTGGCTGGGAGGACACACTGCCCTACAGTGCCGGGGGCCCCTGCCGGAACTGGCAGCACACAGGGAAGACCCGTGTGGGTCCGGCCTTTGGGGTGAGAACGACTGTGTGCAGTGAGGCTGCACCGCCTGGGATGGGGCACTCAGGCAGCTCGGAGTGACGCTGGCCTGAGACTTGCCTCTGTGGGCTTTCGAGGTCTAGGCCTTTGCTAGAAAAATCCCTTGAAGAAGAGGTCCGTCTGACCCCCAAGTCCTCCCAAATCATAGCTAACACTGACAGGACAGGCACTCTTGTAAGTCAGACGTGTGTGTGGGTGTGTGTGTAATAGCCTGTGCCATTGGTGCGGGTGCTGAGAGCGGGAGACAGAGGACTTCAGTTCCCCCAGTCCAGCGGCAGAGCCTGCCTACTCAGCTTCAGCTCCAGCTCCAGCTCTGGAGCCTGACCCTGTCTTCATTGAGGTGCCCAGCAGTGCGCAGGACGGGCTGAGCATTTGGCTCTGAATCTAATGCTGACTCTAGGGGCCAGGGGGAGCCAGAAGACTCTGGCCCTGCTTCAGAGCCCCAGCCGCTCTAAGGCTGCGGTGGGTAGCCTGGCTAGGTTCTCAGAGGCCTGGGCCCCACTTTTCCCATCTCTAAAATAGGCTCATTAAACCCTGAGAGGTTGGCAAGAAAAATTGATTACAGTTAGGCCTGGCAGGGAAGAGGGGAGTCAGGAACCAGGGCTGGCCATCCAGTCCTAACTAATGGGGCAGGGAGGCTGGGGTGGGGGGAGGGAAGGGGTTTGGGCACAGATCAGTGGCTGGAGCCAGCGTGCCTGGGTTCTCACCCGGGGTCTGCCCCGGTTATCACGACCTCAGGTAAGTTACCTAGCCTGCACCATGCTTGCCTCATCTGGAAGGGGAGAACAGGTGTCCGGGGGAGGGCAGTTGTATTGAGTGAGGCTTGGCTTACTCCACGTGAAGCATTTAGGAGCGCCCAGCCCGCTGAGCCTGTGTCCACTCTTTGCCTGCCTTCTGTCTTCCAGGTGGGGACCCCCAGTCTCATCGTGTCCCGGACAGAGGACGGCAGAGTACAGGTGGTGGCCTGGCCGCTTGGCGATCTCCCGACAGCTGGGTCTCCAGCAATGTGAAGCTTTTGTTTGGGTTTCTTCTTGTAGTGTTGCTTACTTCTTTGTCTTTGTCCTTTTCTTTTTAATTTAAACCGTTGAAACTTCAGAAGATCAGGAAGCCGTGCTGTGGACAGGCCCCGTTTCTTTAAAGAAGTTCACTGTGGACAGCCATATGTATAAATATCCCTGTCAATCTTTGTAAGGGGCTAGGGAGCGACTTTGCTTTTGTCCTTCTCCCTCCCTCTGTTGTCTTTCTTTTTACACATAGCGTCTCAGTTCTGCTCATAGCACCTCACTTCCCCAGAGGAGGCCTGCTCCCCAGGGAGGAGGTGGGGGGTTCTCCGGGAAAGGCCTGTGGGAACTGCCCAACTCTGGGGGGCTGGTCCTGGCCTCGGACACGATCAGCAGCGAAGACCCACCGAGAAGACCACGGTTTGACCAGAGCTGCAGACGGACTCGGCTGGGGGGTTCTTGTTGAGCTGCTGGGAGCCCCAGGCTGCACCAGGACTTAGAGCGGTGGGGGGGCCTGTGTGGCCCTGTGTGGTGGGGAGGAGGGGCTTGGAGGGAGGAGCAGAAAGGTGACTGCCTCCCACTGCCTGATGCGGTCAGATAAGCCACCCCAGCACAGCTCTGTGCTTGGGAAAGAAACGGTCGTGCCAAACCTCTGCCCCAGCCACAGCTGGGTCCTCCACGACGCCTCTCCCTCCACCTGCTGGACATACTGCCTGGCGCCCTAAGCTCCAGCTGTGAGCATTGCCATGGTAACGGGGGTCTGGAACTGGCTGCCATGCCATGGAGAGTGAACCCTGTGCGCTGGAACCCATGGTGCCACCAGTGGTGACACACCCTGTCAAGCTCCATCTCTCTCACCCCTGGGGACTCATCGTTTGGTGCCCATCCTTAGTGTCAACGTGTCAGATGGAAGAGAATGGACCTGCCCCAGCCAGGGAGGTATCTGCCTGGTGGGTTAGAACCCCTGTGGCTGACAGGTGCCCACCGGGGTGCCTGACCACTTGAGAGCATTCTCAGCCGCGACCTCTCAGCCCTGCCCTCTGTGTCGCTCTCTGGCCATTCCGGCACTGGCAGCGCCCCTGCAGCAGCCGCAGGAGGCCTCTCCTCCTGGGCTCCTGGCTCTCCAGTCGCAGGTAGAAGGCGCTCCCCCAAAGCTCCCCTCCCCACTCTGGCCGCATAGGCTTGGGCCCGGGAAAGGGAGAAACCTTGTTTTGTGTTCGTTTTTGTTTCTTGTTGAACCTAAACCAGCATAAGATTGACAGGAGAGATGGTTGGTGTGTGACCAAGGCGGGCTGTCCCCCCAGGGCAGCGATCCCTTAGGCCTGGGCGTCGGGAAGAGACCAGCAGGACCCGGAGCCCAGTTTGGCCCTGTTTGCTCACATCCTCTGCCTTTCTCCTGGGCCCTGGGCAGTGGCTTCCTCCTCCTCCTGGGCCGACAGCTGCTGCTGTTAGCAGAGGACCCCGCAGGGCTGCAGGTGGTGACCAGGCCCCTTCTCTCCCTGGCCTCAACGCCGAGACTGCGTTCCTGTCTCCTCTCGGGCACATTCCTACCCTGCCTTCCCTTGGGGCGGCTGCCTCGCCACACACAAGCAAGTGGGAAGAACAGTGCCCAGACTCTGCGCCCCAGCTCCCCTGGCCGCAGTCGGGCCCTGACCTCCCCCTCCCCACCCTGGCCTGGCTCTCTCAGCTCTGAATGAGCTTCGGGGCAGGCGTGCTTCCGCACTGTTATTTTCCTGCAAATCACCGAGTCCTTGGCAGACCAGAGGCCCGCCTGGTGGGGAGCCAGCTTCCCCGTCCCCTGATCTGCGGCTCCCGGCCTTACTGGCTTGGTGGCAGAGCCTCTTTTCCTAGCTCCAAGTGCCTGTCTCTCCCTCCCCTTCTCCCCCTGCCACCCCCCACATCGGCCCTCTGTGCCCCCAGGTGTTCAGCCAGTTAGGTGGAAGTCAGGCCTGTACAAACTTGGGCTCTTCCCTGCGTGGAGGCTGTCCTTGGGGCTGGCCCTGTGGTCCCGAGCCGCTGTCCACCTCTTCCCTCTGGTTGCCCCCCTCCCCAGCTCTCATACCCATCAGCGCCTCTGTGGGGCAGCATCTCAGTGCCAGCAAGTTTGTTAGACCTAGCCATGTTCTAGGAGTTTCCAAACCTTAAACAGCAGTCATTCGTTCTCTTGGACCTGTGTGAGGATGGCCCACGGGAAGGGAGGATCCTGGCCCTGCCCTGCTGGGTCTCAGCAGGGTGTCCCAGTGGGCAAGGAATGAGCAGGGCTGATCCTAGTGCCTTATCCCATTGTCCTCCCCTGACCAGACCTCCGGCTCAGCTGGGACTGGGCGGCTTCCTTCACCCTCTCCGTGTCCATCTGGCACTTGCACTCTCACCTTCTCACTCACAGGTCGCCACAGGGGTGGATGTCCCCTTTCTGGGGGCTGGAGCCAGGCTCACGTCTCCCCACCCACCGCCCGGGCACTCATGAGCAGCGTTAGCCCAGATCGGAAGAACTGTGCTGCAGACAGATGCACTGTCTGCTTCTTACCTCCAGTCAGGAGGACGCCGCTGGCTGACTGGCCCAGACCGGCTCCATCTGGCCGCCTGCTGGGCCCCAGGACTGAAGCCACAGGCCTCAGCCTCTTCTCATCCCAGAGGCGTTGGGACAGGGAGTTCTGTCTTCCCGCCCCAACACGGCCTCCCCCCGTGGCTGCCTTCCTGAGGGAAGGCACTAAATGTTTACTTAAGAAATACCCTGTTTACAGCTGGAGGAGAACTGAGCCCAGCACAGGTGCGGACTCGGTGCCTGCACTGGGCCTGCCTGCGGACGGCGCTGCCAGCGGGGTCCCCAGAGCAGGCGAAGGCAGAGGTGCTGGGGCGGGGTGAGGGCCTTCACCCCTCTGCTCCCCAACCCCGTGGTGCTAAGACCGCGTCCTCGTTCCTCGCAGCCTTCCTGCCCCTGGACATTCCCTAGTGCGCCCCTCCCTCCCAGGCTCTCCGCTCCTTCCCCTAGCCTCGCTTGTCTCCTGGCCTAGAAAACCAGTGTTTGGAGCAATAAGATTATTATTTTTGTCTGAGTCTTTTTCTAAGAAAAGGAAAAGCGCTGGGAATGGTGGGAATCTTTCTTTTTATGCCGTTGGCTGTTTACCTTTGTAGCAGACAGACCCTAATAGGACGGCTGTCTGGGTTTTAGCCTTGGTCTCTTTGGAAACTTGGAAACAGGTGTCGAGGTGCCACCCCTTTGCAGAGGGGCCCTAGCTCTGCTCCCGCCTGGCCCAGCCCTGCCCACTCCCGCACTTCCCACCTCCCTCCCTGCCCGTGCCCCGCCCTCCTCCCACCTTCAGGAGATACTGGTGGCTCTCCCTCCAGGTGGGTCTCCGTGTTCCCTGAATTGGTGGCCTCCAGGACCCCTCGGGCCTACAACCTCAGAACAGCCACTGTTCAGGTCCCTCGGTTTTGGAGGCTGAGGTCCAAGGATGCCACCTGTGCCACCCTTGTGTGCTGGGCTGGGCATGGCCTCCCGGTGCACACAGAGCGCTCTGGTCCTGCTCTGTATTGGCCACTGGCGCGGGGGTCTCGTCTGCACAGATGCCCTCCGTCGCAGCCCTGGGGGCCTCACACGGCTGGCCTGCAGTGCATCTACAGCTGCCACCAAGAGTTGAACCCATGGCTCCTGAGGTTGCAGGGGGTACCCCAAGATCCCCTCCCCTTGCTTTCTTCCAGGAGGGGCCCCGAGAGGAAGCAGTGTCCCTTGTGCCCCAGGGGTGTCTGCATCAGGGCAGGGGGTGCACTTCGTGGCTTCTTCCATTCAAGGTTGCTGACTGGTCGAGAGGGAGACTAAGCCAGACACAAAGTTAGTTTCAAATACTAGTTAATGAATCTATTTTTCTTTTTTTGCACAGAAGCTGGTAATCTAGGACCTACGTGTGAACAACTTTCTATGACTATTTTTTTGTACTTGGTTTACTTGGGTTGGTATGAGACATTCTATTTAAGTTCCTCGAACACTGTGCATCCCCAATGTGTATGAATGACTGAGGCTTTGTAAATTAAGGGACGTTTGTGTGAATAAAGTTATTTGATGGGGTCAGAGAAGCCATATGTGATTTAAAAACGCGTGTTTGGTGATTTGTTGCTGCTCTTTGGGAGTGCCGAGACGCCGGTATCCCCTGTCCTGCCTGGTGGGGGGTGAGAGAGCAAAGGTCGCCCAGCCCCTCCATGCTCAGCAGCTGGAGGAAACCGCTTTCGGCTGGTCTTGCCGGGACAGCCCTGAGAAGCAAGTGCTCAGGAGTGAGGGACCCAGGGCCTGAGCCCATGTGGCCATTCCCCCTTCCCGTCATCACCAAGGTCCTCAGCTGCAGCCCTCAGGGAGTCCCAGCGGGAAGCAGAGCTTGGGCTCAGGGCCACAGGGGCAGGGTGAGGGCTGGGAGCGCTCAGCAGGGAGTGTAGGCCATCAGAGGGTCAGAGCAGCCTGGTGGCCTGAGCTGGTAGCCTCCATGCCTGGAGAACACGCACTGGTCAGCCTACTGTGGTTGGGGTGGGATTGGGGAAGTGAGCACATGGCCCTCTGGTCCAACGAGTAGGCCATTCCAGGAGGAACAAATAGCCCATTCCAGGAGGAACGGCACTGGAATCCCTTGGAGGCTTACTGCCCGGGGCTGTGATGTGTGCTCCTCCGCTCATGCTCACGACTGCTGGGTGAGGGGGCTGGGAAGAACGGAACTCCCCACTGCACGCGGCCCCGGCAACCTGTGTCCCGTCCCATGAGTGGGGGTGACCAGAGCTGCCCTCCGAGTGAGGACGCGGCCCGGCACCTAGCAGGCTCGCAGGCAAATGCTCCTGTAGCCTCTTCTGAGAGAGAGCGCCTTGGAGCTTAGCAGGCCCGGGAAGGGTGGGTGAGGTTTGCTGAGGAGCCCACTACTCAGGCTCCCGCAGGGGAAGCAGCAGACACAGTCAGGGGTTTGGAATGTGGGCCTTAGAGGGGCAGATAAGGCAGGCTTCCGGCCTAATCCGGGAGGGAACAAGCCGCATTCCAGCCCAGGGCTTGGTGTCCACTGGGTGCTGCTGGGGGTGACACTAACAGCAGGGCTTCTGTTCTGTTCTGAGCCTGAGCAAGGACCTGGAGCTGGAGCGCCTTTATTATGTATTTGAAGTGGTCTTACTCGGCTTTATTTCCAGGAAATGCTTCATTCCATAAAATAGGATGAGTGTTCCTGGTTTGGTTGTGTGCTTTTTTTTTTTTTTTAAGATTTATTTGAAAGGCACAGTTACAGAAAGGGAGAGACAGAAATCTTCCATCCACTGGTTCACTCGCCAAATGGCCAGGGCCAGGCCAGGCCAAAGACAGGATCCAGGGACTTCTGGGTCTCCCACGTGGGTGCAGGGGCTCAAGGACTTGGATCATCTTCCACTGCTTTCCCAGGCACATGAGCTTTTTTTTTGTGGGTTGGTTGAAGGAATTCACCCATTTGAAATGTACCGTTGTGGTTTTCAGTTTGTGTACGGAGTTGTGCAGTCACTGCCTCTGTCTACTTTGAGGCCGTTTTTACAGTCCAGGCCCCTCTGCGGTGGTTTCTGTACCCCTGGCACACACTCAGCTCCTGGCACGCACCAATCCACCCTGGGCTCTGGGTTGCCCATGCCAGCCATTGCGGGTCAGCGGAACTGTCCAGTGAAGACCTTTGCACAGCTGCCTTTCACTTGGCGTGACGTGTGAGGGTGCCTGGACCGCACTCCATCCCCTGCTGCTACTCCATGTTACACCATGTGCTGTCCACCATCAGTCTGCGGACTGTTGGCATGGACCTGTTGTTCATTTCTTTAGGTGTAGACCAGGCAGTGAGAATGCTGAGTCACGTGGTCACTGCACCATGTACACTCCCAGCGTCGGGCCCGAGGGGTTCAGCTTCTCCACGTTTCTGCCGTATCTTTTTGCCCTAGGAGGTGCGACGAGGTCACAGCTTGTGATCTGCACCGTTGTGCTAGGAATGCAGGTCAGGGACAGCAGAGCTTCTGGATCGGTAACCAGTTGGCCCAGCAAGTATTAGGTGTGTCGCCTGGGCCTGGCAGAGGGGAGGAAATCAGCTGGCTCTGTGGCTACTGGCTCTTTGATCTTAAAGCCAGCCATTGCCCTTCTGACTTCCTTTTTTTTTTTTTTTTTTAAGATTATTTTATTTATTTGAAAGGCAAAGTGACAGAGAAGAGGGGGAGAGGCAAAGAGAGAGATCTTCCATCTCTGGATCACTTTCCTAGTGGCCACGACAGCTAGGGCAGAAGCCAGGAGCTTCACTTGAGTCTCCCATGTGGGTGCAGGGGCCCAAGCACTGGGCCATTCTCTGCTGCTTTCCCAGATGCATTACCAGGGAGCTGGAATGGAAGCAGAGCAGCTGGGACTGAAACCGGCGCTCCGATGTGGGATGCTGGTGCTGCAAGCAGCGGTTCTACCCACTGCCGCAGCCCTGGCCTCAGAAGAGCAGATATGCATTGTGTAAGGAGGCTAGTGGGACTAAAAGCTTTTTCCACGCAAGTATTTCTTCACATCCCTGTGTCTCCACTGTGGAGTTAGGGCAGTGGTCAGATCACAGCATGTTGGGTTGGACATGGGGGACGAGAACATAAGGCATTGCCCTGTCACAGGCCCTGGAGAGAAGGATCTGGAATACCAGGCCAGGCCAGTGTTGACACTGGCGAAAGAAGCTGGACACCTGGGCCTCCCTCCAGACTCGCTCCCAGCGGCGGCAGCCTGGCCTGCGCTCCAGAGGGAGAGGGAGGGCCGGGGGCCAGGGCGGAGGCCCCCTTCCCCCCTCCCCCCGGGGGCTGTGCTGCAGCCTGTCAGCCCCCAGTGCCCCGACAACTGCTTGCCTCCAGCTGCACCTTGAGAGCTACAGCGTCTGCCTGTCTCCCTGGCGGTCTTATCTCACAGCACCACACCCCACCTCAGCTATCCAGAGGAGATTGCATGGTGCTGAGACCCAGCCCTCAGTGCAGGATTTCACTTGGTCAAAACAGGTCCTGCCATGGCCCAGAGCACTCTGGACCCCCATGGTCCCGCAGGCATTACCACGCTCCTCTCCTGGGCCCATAACTGCCTGCCCCGGCTTCCTCCTGCCTTATCAGGCCCACTTGCCACCCAGCACCCCCGTAGGCTCTGCCTCAGGCCCTCCCTGCCTTCTGTTCATAAGCACATGGGGCAGTTCCATCCCAGGCCCATGCACCTGCTGTTCCCTCTGCCTGGAACCATTGGTGTTTCTTAGTGCTTCCTAGAGGTCTCTGCTCATTTCCTGCAAGATCCTTCCTGCCCCTCTATCCAAAACACATTTTCTCATCGTCACTGCCTCTTTAACCCACTTGATATAACATCCCTGTATTCAGACATGGATGTGTGGGTAGGTAAATGATCTCTCCAGTCCTGCTGCAGATACGACAGAGTCAATGTCCAGGGTGTTGCTGAGTTCTCTAAGAGCCTGCTCCTGCACAGCCCCAATGCAGGCAACTTGCAGGGGACCTGCAGGTTAGAGGACGGTGGTGGGGCAGGCGCCTGGCCATGATCCATCTCCGCTCCCGGGGCTTGGGCACAGGCCACTTGCTTCTTGGCTGCCCAGAAAGGGAGGAAAGAAATCAGAGGGAAACCGCCAGATGTGTGTGGGGACCCCTTGGGCTTTGATTTCCTTCATCTGAAGCAGAGAGAACTCGTTCTGTCAAGAGCCAGAAAGTACACCCTGTGGGCTTCGCAGGTCTCTGAAGATGTAAGATCACACACCTAGACTGGCCAGGGGCCTGCTCCTGTATGGACCGCCAGGTGCACGATGGATGGGCCTGCCCAGGGGTAGTGCACATGGCAGGTCCGCTGAGGTCGGCAGGAGCTGTGTGTGTGTTGGCAGTGGGGCTAGACCCAGGCCCAGAGGTCCTGCTGCATGTCCCGCCAGTCTCGGTCATAGCTCCGGATGCAAGGCAGGGACGTGTAGTGCCGGGAGCTGAGCACAGGCACTCATGTAGAGCAGCACAATATGCCAAAGCAGTTGAAACAGGATCAAGATGCCCATGTCCACGTCCACGTCCACTCAGCCCCTGCCAGCGTGCACCGTGTGGCCGGTGCTCTCTCTGGGCCCAGTAGCATGGTGGGCTGTGGGCACAGACAGAAACGTTTGGAATTCTGCATCACTCACAGTCTCGTGCCTGTGGGGTACGGCACTTCTCTGAGCTTCAGTTTCTCATCTATAAAATGCAACAATCCCAGTACCCACTTCCTGGATTTTTCTCTCAATTACAGAATGTCTATACTACATCTAGATTATCCACCACTGGTATCTATTAATAGTTTTTTTTTTTTTAAGATTTATTTATTTATTTGAAAGAGCTGCAGAGAGAGAGAGGTCTTCCATCTGCTGGTTCAATCCCCAGTTGGCCACGATGGCCGGAGCTGCACCAATAGAAGTCAGGAGCCAGGGGCCTTGCCAAGTCTCCCACGCGGGTGCAGGGGTCCAAGGACTTGGGCCATCTTCCACTGCTTCCCCAGGCCATAGCAGAGAGCTGGATCAGAAGTGGAGCAGCCGGGACTCGAACCGGTGCCCATATGGGATGGCGGCACTGCAGGCGGCAGCTTTACCTGCTATGCCACAGCGCCGGCCCAAATAGTTTCTTGTAACAGCAGAAAGATAGCCCTTGAGAGGCTTCTCAGATAAAACAACTGCGAGTTCACCCAGCGTCGAGTCCTGGTGCAAGCTAAGGACGCTGAGAAGTCAGTAATGAGCACTGCTTCTCAGATCCCTGATGCCTCTGCACGGAGCATCTGTTAGTGGCTCCTGAGCTAATGTTCTGGGGGAAACGCTTTGAAGCCCACTCCGGGGGCTGCTATACACAATCATCTGTGTGGCTCCAGGCGCCTGATTCCCTCTCAGGGGGCTTGAGCTGCCCCCTTCCTGTTTCAGTGGGACTGAGACCACGTCCCTCCTGACGCAGCCTTCAGTAATTGCCTCTGCTTGGTCTGCTGGTGCCTTGAAGGCAGACCAGAATGTGAGGAATTTAATAAGCGCGGTCTGGGTTGCCCGCCAGAACACCGTAGGGCCCAGGTGCAAGCGATTTGAATGTTGCAAGAACACAGAGAGCAGTTGCCAC